TCTATATATTCTTTTAAAAAAAGTGGCAGTTATATTATTCGATAGAGCAAAAAGTTTTAGCTTTGAGAATCTATTTTTTTCATTGCGGCATGATGATTTTTAATGGAGTTACAAGCAATCAAAGTCAAAATGTTTCTTTTATTTAACAACGCGATAATTCAATAACAAAAAATCTTAGGAACATTAAAAAAAAACGATTTTGTAAGGGAAACTTCAAGCTTTTACAATAGAAAGCCAAAAATCTTCATGAATTTGTTTTTGAGTACGTGACAGTCCATAAAGAAGAAAATTTCTCATTTTGTCCAGTTCGTAATTTTTTATAAGGAAAAATGATTTCATAAGAATTCAAAAAGCGTAGTGATCTTTAGAAAGTAAAGATTTTAATAAAATCTCTACTTTTTTATTAAAATCTCTACTTTCTTAAAATCATTTTAAAACTCTTTTTTAAAGTTTAAATTTTGTTCATTTTTAACGGAATTACAAATGCTTAAATTTTAAAGTAAAAGTTCGTAACGCTATTTTTGTTCTTGAACTTTTGTTCTATCTCAATATTAAACTTTCTATTTCTTTAATATTATTATCATTATCATATTATTTTATTATATAATATAAATATCTATATTTGTGTTATATAATTTGATTGTATTTTATAATAATTTTCTTATTATTATTAATGCGTACATTTGTGCTGTAGAAGTATTGCGGATTAAGACTCGAGAAAGGCCAACGAAATACACGCGGACACCCTGTATAAGATGCACGCTACGCAGCGCTGTAAACATGTGACAATAACGTCGTCGTCGTCGTCGCCGCCGTCGTTAGTATGACGCGATGCATCGGTGCAAACTATTGGTGCAGTCTTTTTTTTTCGCGCGGAAACGCGCGAAGTCGTGCGTTCGCCAGACATCCACCAAACGTACTTCGTGGCTAACTGAATAATCACGTGTTGTGATAAGCCGACCGTTATTTACGGAAACCATTCCTCGAGCACGTCAGCCTCGGCATAACCTCAAAAAGTCACCGCGACCAGTGGAGGCGCGTCGGCGTCGGCGTCGATGTTTCTCCTCCCCGAATCCCCGAATGGAAGCGAACGCAACGCGCACCGATATCGTTGCGCGGCACATCGCGCGCGACGATCGATGCAATTAAAGGGGGAGGATTATTCATCGGGGTTTTTACAGGCGATTCAAACCGCGTCGCGGAACTGACGTCGTTCCCGTCGTCTTCCCCGTTGCCGTTTTCCCGATGCGGCGACCTTGCAGCTGCTACTCCGATCCGGCTGCGGCACGAATTCCTATCAAAGTGCCGCACGCGTGAAAGAGAGAAAGAGACACTCGATTATCATTCGTCTAGGCAGAGCAACACGGAGAACGGAACATGAATTGGCAAGGGCGTAGCGCGTGTGTAGACATGTGAGATACGTGCGTGCGAAGAAGTAAGAGAGTTAGAGATAAAAAGATCCGACAAAAGAAACGGTACACGTGACGAGTGACGATCATGGAAATCGCCGCCACGAAGCTGATGCAATGGTTCAACGAACTCCGATCCCGGGTGCATCTTTACTTGCACGCCCAAACCCGTAAGTCATCCCCGGACAAGCGCGTGCGATTAATTCAATAGCAAAATACTAAAGACCGCGGGAATGTCAATACAAAAATACAATAGTCGATGAAGCTGATCGGGTGATTTTTTCATGGTGTACTTCTAACAATTTAATAATGCTTTAATAGCGCTCAAAGAAGTCTTTTTTATTAGTCTTTGTTAGTCTTTCAAACTTGATTTTAATGGATCTATGATAACAAAATTTTTTTAATTCAATTCAAGGGCAATTATTTCAATAAGTAATTCATACTAAAAAGTTAATTTCTTTCAAATTAATTTTTAAATATTAAATATTAAATTTTCAAATTAATTTTTTCCAATATATTTTTTCAATATATAAATTATGTTCATATCTCAGATAATATCGATAGAACTAAATAATTTCAATGGATAATGTCTTCAAATTTGTTGTATGTATATTACAATGTATAGGATATAAAAGAATTAAGATAATTTCTTGTTTAATGTTCCTGTTATCTCATAATACAAGTCAATGATAGTGCCGCCAATATCAATAATATGCTCGAGAGAATTAAGAATTTTTTATAAACATTTATCTCTTATCTCTTATTTTTATTCTGAAGAATATCTGACTGTTAATACATTTGTTGAAACTAAAGTTTGTAACGATGCTTCATTTGTCTATATGTTTAAAAAGAATTGACATTCAATAGTGACATTCAATAGTGTTTTTTAACTTTAAGAATCTGTTTTTTAATTGCACGATTTGAATTTTTGATAGAGTTATGAGTAATTAAAGTATAATGCTTCTTTTATTTAATCTGCGATAACTCAGTAACAAAAAATTTTAGAAATATTAAAAAAAAAAGATTTTGTAAGAAAAACTTTAAATTTTTATGTTATTAAGTTGAAAATTTTCACGAGTTTGCTTTTAAATCTGACAGACCTACGAAGTAAGAGAAAAATTTTCCATTTTCTAGCTTGTAGTTTTTTTTATATGTAAAAATTATAGAACTTATAGAAACTTAAATGACATAATGACCTATCGAAAATAGGAATTTTAAACTTTAAAATCCTTTTTTTAAATTTAAATTATGTTCATTTTTAAGTTACAACTACTTGAATTTTGACGTTCATAGTGTTACGAATTTTTGTTCCAACATATTGCATTTTGTAATATTATTACAGTAATATAATACGCAGAGCATTATTATGTATAATAATAAT